AGGCTGGGGGCGGGAAACTTTTTTGATCTCTTTTGTAAAGCAAAGTATGCAAGAGCCTGCGACGGCGTGTTATCCAGTAAAAAGCATTGCTTTCGACACACACCAAGACCAATGCAATAAATGCACCAGCATGCCGAAGACGCCAGTGTCCTTAAAGCAGGAATTTGTTCACGATGTCCTGCTTGGCGGACTTTGTCAGCCCGTCCGCCACCACTGGTGATCGGGGTCACACCAGCACAGCACAGTTTCTTCACGGCGCAAGTTTTCACTGATGCCCATCGGCTCTAGACTCCCGAGAGGTATACGTGTCCTTAACATTGAAGGAAGCCATTCCCGGATCAGCCTTCATCAGGGTGTCGTAGACACGCGCATGCATGATGAGGCGCGCGCGTCGACTTGTGAAGTGGTCCAGGGCCGATCTTGCCGTCAGAGAGAGCCGTCAGCTCCTCCTCACAACGACTTGAAGCATATGTTTCGGCAGATTGTGAGCTCCTGGCCACCCTAGGTGGCCTGTACCTCCTCCAGCCCATCACGTTCAAGTTGCCTTGTCCAACGGTCATCCCAATGATCCGGCCACCAGTGCTGGAACCATCTGGAACCATCAGGGCCGTTGGCGACGGATGCATCCGTAATACCGCCATTTTTTCCCACCACGCACGATCCATGAAACGACGAAACCAAAGACTCCAAAATCCCACTTTCGCGGCATGGTGCAGGGCAGATCGGATTTTTCTTTGATATCTCGCAACTGATTTGAAACATGGTTCCCATTCATGGGCTGTCCTGGAGGCCCCGGATCCATCCGGACCAAGTCACTGCAAAAGCTGGAGTGATCCTTAATGATCGACTAATCATCATGTTGGATCAGTCGGATCCCACAATGGACAACGTTGGAGTGCTCGCAGGCGGCCTACGTGTCAGCAGCCTTGAACTTGCAAATGCAATTCTTGTCTGTGAGGCTTCTAGTGATGAGAAAGTCACCAACGTGGCTGGCAAGCATTCCGGCCACATCACCATTCTTGCCCAAGATGACCGAGGCACAGTCATCGGTGCGGCCTTGAATTGCACCAAGCCGATTCACGATGGCCGACGATCGCCGTTAGCTCAAGCAGTTGCTTCGCCAATGGTCGTCGGTGGCATCTACTAGCGCTTCTATACACGTCAACACCCACCTCATACGAAGAAGTTGGTTGTCAGGAAACCAAGCTCAGTTTGCGCGCCTAAACACATTGCGCTGCACCCATTGTCACTTCCAAGCGTTTCGCTTCGCCACAACTTTTGCCGGCTGACTTCGACCCCTTGGGAGACAGTCGTGTCCATGAACATATCCGGGTTCTTAACCATCCGCTTCGAAGCTTGGACATCGGCAGACCACGGCAGGTGCAGAGTCGGGGCGCGAGCGGCCGCGCCAAGCGCAGGCGGCAGAGGAGGAACACGGAAATCTGCGTTTCCTGGGACGAGGCACAAAGAATTTGGGGTTCGTGCAGCCCGCTAGGCTGCAACAATTTATTCTGACCTTCTGCCTGGCGAGCTCGTTTTTTACCGCCGCCGAGTGACCTCTTGGCCAACTGGTCGACGGACCACCCAAGGATGTCGATTTCTCGGTGGTGTAGCCGTGTAAGCGTTCTTGCCACGGAGACCCGAAGATCTGCTGGTGAACCACGGTGCTCCACGCACCTTCTTGGATCGTCGCTCACGGCCGACGCAAGAGATGCCACTACAGTCTGCCTTGCTCACGAAGCAGTCCCCATCCATTGCGCTTTCGAAGCTTGTTGGCGTAATCGTTGCAGCTGATGCAGATCAATTCCGGGAGTACTTCCATTCGACAAGGCTGAAGGTTCACCAGGATTGATTTTGACATGAATGCTCGACGCGATGTCTCGTGTCAAAGCCCATTTTCTAGGAGAGAAACCATGGATGCGTGCGAGGTTGTTGGGCGCTGTCACCACAGTCGACGCAACTTGACGAGCAGGCTCAGGCCGTTCGCGAATGAACGATTCAATTTCGCGGCGAAGGGTGCCCATGGACCGTTCCACCTCACTGACAAACTGATGGTGTTCTGCTGGGACATGAAAAAGTTCAACTCCTCGGGCACACCAATCTCGAAGAAGATCACCTCGAAGAGCACTTTCTGCATCCAGCTTCCTGCGTTCAGGGAGGCTAAAAAATTGAACACGCGCTGCTCCCCCGTTGGCAGCTCGGAGGGCAGCAGAAAAACGAGGAGCCCGAATGTGGTGGGGCTGCCTCCGAAAAACTGTGCTGTGGTGTGGTTATGCCCGGGCCCAGGCGAGGGACCATGGTTCTCGATTGCTGATTGCTATCAGTGTCGTAGACAACTTGGCCAGCATGCCTACGCACAGCTTCTGCGGCCTGCGGGATAGATTGTGGCCGAAAACTGGACGGACATGCCTTCCTGGGAGCTCCCGCCTGACCGACCTCAAGGGATCGCCGACCTCGGTGAACGGAAGCACGGGCGGCAACACCATGCGTCGCGTACATGGAATTTTGTCTTCCGCGATCACGTGCCGCTGCCTTAACGTCTCCCCACCGCGCGTTGGTAACTCCCCAGGTTGGTCCGCACGCCGTTGCTTGGCTCCAGGCCATCCCGACTGCAGCCTTGGACTCGGGCGTGGAGGACGCTGACCTCGCAAAAAACAGCGTGTAGCTGCAGCTTGCACAGGGACCGCCGCATTCCAGTCGCAAAAGGGTCCGTGACAACAACAATGCAGATCCCATTGTGTCGCAGGCTGCGGCTTCGCGCTTGGCCGTTGCGGGAGCAGCTCGGAACTTGGGTGTGGCCGCGGCATTGATGAATGTAGACCATGTACTCGCGTGCCCCCGGACTGGCCTCTTAGCTAGGCGAGCCAAGCTGGTTGAGCGGGCTTGGTGCAAGGTTGCCCGCGACACGTGGTGCCTCAACAGTGGCTCGTCGACACCATCGCACCAGGCATCGCGCCTGACGTTCGCGGGCGCCTTGACCTGACCTCGTCATGCATCTAGGGCCGTGCCACTGGGTGGAGCCTTTCGACCTGAGCTCGCTGCATGTGGCGCGCGAACCCTGGGCGTGCTCGGCTGCGAAGTGGTGGGCGTTGGAACGCCGACGCAGGACGGCTGGTCAGACGCCTTGTCGCCCTCCGTGCGCACAGAGCTCCGGTGGCATGTGCGAGCTCCTGCAAGAGCTGCGTGGGCTTGCCGCTAGCGGCATGTGGGTTCTGTTGCTGTCCAACAGTCTCACAGCGCTATGGGGCGCCCGGGCCATCCCGGCATTGATCCGCCTGCCGCTGCGCTGAGCCGGCCTCGAAGCAGTTGCTGCCGCTGCCGGCGAACCGGCTGTGCATGAAGTCCTGCAGGACGCAAGGTGGCTCGACACCCCGGCTCCCAGCCGCCTCCCCGCACGGACTTAAGCAGCCGTAGCTCGCAGGTGCACTGGGAATGTGCGCGAAAAAAAAGCCGGCCCTAACACGGGCTGAGCCGGGCCCAGCCGGGCACAACTCAACTGCGGACGAAACAGAAGCCTGGTCGTCGCTACACCGTATTCTAACAGAAGGGGAGATTGCTGGTAAGCCGGGGTTTCATGGAAACGAGTTAGGAGAGGACATCGCTGAGAACAGCTTGGTTGCGTCCAAAGAGGCTCCTGCAGCCGATATGGCGGCAACACGTGGATTCTGCGTGGGCTTCACCCCTATGTGGACGTGACCATCCCCTCGCACACTTCCGGGTCCTGCTCCTCCATCGGCTCCGGGTCCCCCTCCCACCACCTGTGAGACTCCTTCGTGCTGGTTGCCGGCGGCGCCTGCCTTTGTCACTCGATCCACGGACCTGCAGCTGCCGCTGCGACTTCGATACACTCGGTGACCATCGTGCGGCCTGCGCCACATCGGGTGTACTCCCAACCGGAGCGCTGCCGCTGGAACGGGCGCTGGCACGTGTCTGCCGCGCAACGTCCGCCTGGGCAACATGTTTGCTGTGGCTACTATGGCCGGCGCAGTGAGGTGGTCTGCAACGGCCTTGCCTTGTGGCAGGACGGTCGATGCCACAATGGTCTCGCCGCTCTCACATGATGGGAGGAATCGCAACCAGGCGCTGACGCTCGACACTAGGCATCGCTCCCCGCGCGAGCTTTGCAGGCTCTCAATGCACGGTTGCCTCCCTGCGTTAGAATACATGGCTTGGGTGCAACGCTGGGCTGCAGTGCTGGACCGGAGCTGTTGCCGGTCGCCGCTGAGAGCGTGCCTTCGCCGCTGCCTTCGCTATATAGTCTTCGCTGCCCCGCTCGTGGGCCGCATCCCACCACCGGCCCTGCGCCGACCCGCCGGCTGGCGACCCGCCGCAGCCTTCAGCTGCACGGCTCTGGCCGGAGCTTTGCGCCGCATCTATGCCATTCTGCTGTAGAATAGAATGGGACCGCTGGTCACTGCGGAAGAAAGGTGCATGGGAAAAAAGGCCGGGAGGTCTGCTCGGAGAGCTGTCGCCACTGAGCGTTGGCCATGTGTGATGTTGGATATCTGATGTGGTTGGGCGGACATTTTTGCGCCCGTCCGCACTACGTGTCCCACCGTCGCAAACTACTAAGACCTAAAGGCGCCTACGGGGGGTTAGCGAAGCGGCAGCCGGCTCAAGGCGAGATAGCGAGGTCCAACACGTCACCGAACGGGAGAGCGTCTGGCGCACCAGGCAGCGGCGGCATGGTGCAGACTCCAAGCGCGGAGCTGGCGACAGCTCGCTGCAGGGCAACCGGCAGCACACTCCACCAGCGGTGCGCCCAGCCGTGGGCTGCGGCGGCGCGCAAGGGTGGTGGGGCGTGTTGGACACGGAGCCGGAGTAGGGTACGGAGGGATCGCGAGCATGGAATCCCGTCGCGCCGTCATGTGCATCGCGAATGGAGTCGGCATCGCAGCCGGTCAGCTGGCTTTCAGTGTGTCCAGCGTGGCCCGAGTGCCAAGTTGACACGATATCGTCACGATACCCAATTACATGGAGAAGCGGTGCAAACCGGGGTCATGCCGAAACCGCAGAACCCATGCTATGCAAAGGCTGTTCCAGAAACTTGGCAGGCAGTGCTGCACACAGATCCCCGGCAGTTGCTGGAGACTTTGGAAGCACGAGGGGGCCACGATGAAGTTTCAGCTCGAGCATTGGAGGCCATCAGCAAGTGAATCTTTTCTTTTTCGCAGCGCGTTGTCGTCGAGTGTGGTGTTGAGAGTTTGAGCTCGCAGGTAAGTCGCAAGTTGTTCGACTTTGCGGGCATGGCAGATTCGATTGGGAATGCTGCGAAATGGTGCCAGGACACGGTGAACCAGGTGGGGAGGGATTCAAGCCGTACTGTCTCCTTTTCGCCGACATCGGAGCCAGGTGCAGAGCAAGGTTGTGGGAGTGCAGGAAGCGGCAACCCTGATCCAGGGTGCGACGCCTGACGGCCACAGGGAGAAAGCTATCCGCTTTTTATACACAGGCACAAAAGCAGGCAAATTACATTCCCCGATGTGTTCTGCTCGTTTCAGGAATGGGTATGTGCAAGAAAGCACGCAGCTTACTGGACAAGCCTGGGACAGCATGAAAGGACTGAGTGGCAAGATGGGCACGATCTACAAAGGCGCGTCGTTTCGGATTTCGAGTGTACGTACCACGTGCATCGAGAATGATTCGAAATCGTTCGAGTAAGTGTTCATGATTCGGCTTCTGGCGTTGTTCCATGACAAGTGCCTGCTGGCCAGATTTCGAGCCTCTTCAACCGGCATTTGCCAGTCGTGGCCTCAGGGTTGGAGGCGCTCCATTCTTGCCGCGCGATGTGTTTTTGCCGGATGCGTATGCTCCAGCAAGGTGCCAGCGGTGTGACACAGATCACAACGGATCAAAGTTTTCTATCCAAGTTGGTGCACTGCATCCGGGAGATCATCAGCAGACGACCGCCTGAAATCGGAGCGAATGTCTGTTGGTATCTGTTGGTTAGCCCTCGTTCGCTTGTTGAACTGTTGAGACTAGTTCTTGGAGACGGCGCCTGTACGGG